TCAGTTATATCCCGCTTCAGATATATCCCCAAAAAGCCTCGGTCCCGAGGTGGGGATATAAACGAGGGACGACTGTATCTAGATAAAGAAAAAAAAACACTTATGAAATTTATCAAGATGAACGAAAAATAATAACCAATAAATGAGCATTAACCCCAACTTATGAACCAGGAAAGAAATAGACATGTAAAGAAACAAATCCAGCAGCCATTTGTTGAATATAAATGATAAGAGATATTATTATTGGTTATATTTAATGATCAGTCCTGAATTTGTTTGTCAATGACTACTTAAAAAGGAAGCTCCTATTATTGTTCAGTTTATCAATATTTTGGAAAGACCCCTTCGTACAGATTTGTTCACTATTCCTCAGTAAGTATTCAATGTCGGACCTTCAACTCCTGAGAAAAGTGGCTGTGTATACATTGTCTTAACGGCACAGTTTTAAACGCGCAAGTAAGTACTATTAATAATTTAAAATGTTCTCAAAGCAGAAAATACATCCACATACTTTACATCCCGTCACGCTTGCGACAATTGCTTATAAAAAAAAAGAAAAGAAGTAGGGCTCAAGACTACTTGTTCTTCCAATAATAATAAAGTGCAATTTTTGCAGAAAAAGAATGACACACTTGTTTGCATGCGATAAGAAGCCATCGAATAATAATGGATCGGAGAGCATCGGTTGTGTTGAATGCAAGACAAATTTTTGAGTTGGTTATCAACTTCAACTTTCACATTTAGAAGAATTCACAAGATGTAATAAGTTTATGACGTTACTATTATTGACAAGTTATTAACTGCTATATTAGTATTACTTGGTACTATATCTGTAAACACACGACATATAAGAGTCTCGAACGCTTGCGCTTATTAATAGACATCATAGTTTTCAACGGCAGCTTGAAGTTCGCTAATCGTCGTATTTTAAATTAAAAAGCTTGTTAAATGTAAGGCAAAACTAGTTTAGCAGCTTATAATAATTTACGTGTTTGGAAACCGTCTATGGATTTCTGCCAACTACACGCATTTTTGTAAAATTGTGGAGTTTAATTCTGGCCCAATTCGGATAAAAAATTAATCAATTCAATCATATATATCAATTCCTCCATCACCAGTGAATTCAGTTCTATCAGTTAAAAGAAAGAGGAGTACAGTCATACCTCTTTTATATCCCAACTTTGGGATTTTTTTTGGGATATATCTGAGGTGGGATACAAGTGAGGTAGTAACCTCTATCGGTTAATAAATTCAGTTAATGAAGTTTGGCGTTTAGCCTTTTCTACGGATTCATCTAAGCGTCGAATTATACTACGTATATATTTTACATCATTTTCTGTTGTAAAATCTCTTTACGCTAACAACCTTTTACTATATCAAGTGCTTGTCTTCCCGTTCGCACAAAAAATAATTGTTTTCTCCTCGTCGCTCGAGTCTTCTTCAACATGTTGCCTTCAGCCATCAGAAATTCCTCGAATATATCTTCTTCTGTTACTAATAAGATTCTTAACGCTAATAGAAATTATATGACAGCCTGTGTAACATAATTAGTATCATATATAGTAAATTAGGGATATGATTTGTGTAATGTTAGTACCATATATAGTAACAGTAAAATAGGGATATAACTATATTGAAATACAATAGAGGAAATTTCGTCCCGCTTTACTGTATTTTTTTTGTTGGAGATTGTCAATAATAATTGCCTCATATGGAAATCCACATGAACATAACGATTCACATTAACATAGCGTAAACACAGGTCAAAAATAGCGAAAAGTTGGAAGGCCGAAAATGGTATTAAGGAACTTCCATGGCCATCAATGTCCCCCGACCAAAATCCTATTGAAAATGTTTGGAGGAAATATTAGCAAAAAAAAAGATTCGAACAATTAATGGCTTAAAGGCTGCTTCCAAATAAATTTAGTTGAAAGCATGCGACGACGCATTACTGCCTTAATAGAAGCCAATGGCGACTATACTTTATATTAGGATTAGGATTGGTGTTGTACTTTAAATAAAAAAATTTTTATTCAAATTGCTTTATTTCTGGAGAAGTTAGATGTCCGGTTACTTTGATCACCGATCATCTGCATCTTGAAAATAGTGCGCACAATGTATACCGGTCAAAACATTGCAACCTAAAACCAGTTGTACAATATAAATAGTTTCATTTTCTCGAACTCTACACTTGAGAACGCAATCTGTTATTCTTGCACGTATTATGAACGAGTTTCGCTATTACTTGCTGTTCGTTCTTATTTTTTGTTCCTTTACAAGCATTCGAGCTTATACAGTGCAAGTGTATGATGACTCTGCCGATGTTTATTTCTTTGCATCCGTCGATGCCATTAGCTATGGCTTCACGTACCCAGACGGCACAGGGTTGATACAATTGCGCTATGATGATACAATCTATATTGACAACAGCTTGTGTATACGCCTGCTACATCTAAACGGCACGTTGACGAAATTTACTGTGCCGTTGGTCTGTGACGCCGATTGCTTACAGCAAGCTTATCCGCTTAATGATGGATATGTGTTTGTAACGCTGACAAGCAGTAACAAAAGTGCGAATGGGACGTTGGTTGATTGGAATGGGCAAGTATTACAACGGTAAGCGTTACTTGGTAATAAAAAGTGGAATATAAGGAGTCGGGAAAGTGAAAAGCTCTGGCAAGAGCTTGGAAATGGAGAAAAGAGAAAAGCGGTCGGTGTAATGTATTAAGAACTCTGTGTTGAACTAATTAATGTATTTTGGCATTCATGGATAGTGACGTGATGCTTACTGATATCCCTGTCGACGGCCAATGGCCACCACTTGTAAAAGCTAATGTCAACCCAGATAAGGATTTTCTTGTAGTAACCAGAAACAAGAATGTAGTTTTATGGAAAATTTTCAACGCACCGTGAGTATTAACTATTAAATTTTGGCGATTGGCAACCGGCATTTGATTAAATTATTGATCTATTTCAAAAACAGTAATAGCACGGGTCAAATTACCCAACTATACGAAGGCAGTATCACGGGAAATGATGACAAAATTTTGTTCGATCACTCAATCTTTCCCACCACAGAAGGCGGTTATGGCATAGCACTTTTAAAACGTATACCAAAATTCACCCCGGATCCACGCACTTCTAAAGTATTCTACTCTTTTCCACAATGGCTTTTATATGTTACATTCTGGCAACCTGGTTCATCACAATTCGACACGCCTCGTCTGATCTGGCAGAACCCCAACCCACTCTCCGACTTTAACTCAACGATAACCGGGTGTGAAGTAGCTGTCGACGGAACAGGATACTTTTGTATTTTAATGATCCCTAATTACGATCACGTGAGAGTGGCATTCCTATCTGGTGGTTCCGTAACTGATGTCAACATGTTAGTAAATAATACTGACATATATGGAATACGGCAGCTACCATATGGCGGATTTATGTTTGTGCAGGTGACTACAAACGACACAGACATGGGTTATTATTCTGACGTATCTGTCAGAAATAAGGATGGAACAAATATACAGACCTTTGAATTACCACAAGGCGATCTCGGTGATTTTGCAATATTTCCAAATAACACTGTATGGATAGGAAGCCGAGAAACGGCAAACTTGACCGTATATTTTATATCCCTTCCCAAACTATTGCCAGAAGGTGAACTAATTTTTATAATAATATAGAATTGTTGACTATTATCTCACAATTCACTAATCGTCATCCCCTATCTTCAGATGCTGGGTTTAAGAATCTTCTTATAAATTCATCAATCCCGCCATTGGGCTCATCTGTGTCTTCAGATACTATAGAAATTACACTGGTATTCAGGGATCAGGTCGCTCTTTCGAGGCAAAACATTTCAATTTACCAAGTGACAGATGGAAATTTTATTATCAGACAAGGATTCAGTGCAAAATCTGGTTTTTGTTCTGTTATGTTAAATGACTTGGCGGTTACATGCCAAATATTCAAAAGTACTTTTAACCAACCTGATGCTACATATAATGTCGTTGTGGATAATGATTTTGTAATGAGTAAAAGTTTGAACCAACCACTTAACGGTGTGGCGAAGGGGAATTGGGTATATTATGGAGGTATGCGGTAACGAATAGTAATATTCTTGGTTTGTTGAATATTCGTTCGCTTATCAGTAATATTGTATTTATTAGCCCCAACGACAGGAAAGTATACAGGTAAGCATCGCCTTGATTTATAGACGTGCACATGTACGTCTGACTGATCGTTTTGTTCCTCTTGATACGTAAATAGATACCACGACAGGTCTTCTAAGGTTGACACCTGAAGGCACGACTTTATTTGAACAACTATCTACTGATGAGAAGAACTCTTTCTTCGACTCCATGGTTGCAAAGCTTGCCGAACTCATCCCCGTTGACCCATCACGTATAACTACCAACAGACGCAACCAGCCCGACCCCGATGCGCCGGCTCGTCAGATATTGTTTCCAATCACTTTCAAGTCAAATGGTGATCGGTCACAGAGAACAGTGCAGCAGATTATTGATGACCTTGATGATTTAATTAAGAATAAAGGTTATAATTCGTTTTCACGGGAGTATCCTACTAGTTACCTAGATGAAACATTTGGGTTTTCACCTGTTGGTATGCAAGTTACAATGTTCAAACTTCTGTTATTGTTCTGAAATGCTACTATGAATGAAACTAATACACTATCAATGGAACTTGCCTAGCCAATTTATGGGAAACTTATAAATTTAAGCTAATTGGAGTGCTTGCTGGTCTTTTGGTATTGTTGGTTATATATTATTTTGCAAGACGGAAGTATCCAGAGGTGAGCTGTCCTGCATACATTTAATATTAATGCTGTTGCTTGTACCAAATGTGAATTTTAATACATAAAACCACTTTGCTAGGGTCAAAGTTTTCTTGTCGTAAAGCTTGCTTTAATACTTGCAGATTTGAGTCTTGATATCGCATTTGTGCTCTCAAGTGCAAAAAATGTTCAAAGAATACATACAGCAAGGTATTACCATTTTGCTATAATTATGATATATCGCCATCAATTTATATGTATATTCATTATTATATTGCTTTCTTTTCAGTATAATTTGTTTAATAGTTTCTCTCACTTTTAATGCTGGCCTGGCATTTTCGATCTTAATGAGAGAAATAAGTAAAAATGTTAAATTTCAAGAATGGTTCAGTCAGAATGTAAGAGTAGCTTCAGTACTTACTTTACTAGCAAGTGCTGATGTTGAGGTTACCACTTTGCTTGGATCCAAATTTGCTGGTTTGAAGATGTTTTCTGCACCCTTGTCAAAGACTGCACTGAATTCCATTTTTTGGGGTAGCACATTGAATTTGTTTATTGAAGATATTCCCCAATTGGTCATTCAGGTATGTGAAGATAATGTTATTGAATCAGAACAATACAAGTTTTTTATAAGCTAACTATTGATTCTGCATCATTTCGTAGATTCTGTATAGACATCTAACAGTCTCATATGATATTATTCCATTCTTGTCATTGGTAATGAGCTCCATCATCTTGACTTCTAATATTATTGGACATGTTTATGATGGATATATAAAATGGAAAGAAAGAAACAAGGCCAAGGGGATGGATGCACTTGATGTACAGGAGGATGAGAAAGATTGACTGTGATTATTTTTTCCAAAAAGCAGTCACCCAATATTAATATGGAATAATGAAGCTTTACTTTTTCTAGAGACATTTCAACTGATTGTTGTATACTTTGCTATTACAGTGCTCTCAAAACATTACTTTCAAAATTAAGCAGTGATTGCGCAATTGTTTATAACTGTACAAATTCGATTTTTTAAATTTTGTATAAATATAGTGTACATTAACATGAAATGTAAATGTATGATAAAAATAATAATAGTGACTATCGATTTTAAATATATACAGTAATTGAGTTCAAGTACTTTATTTATAGCAAAATGGAATTATGTATTTACAGTCAACTGCTTTTAATTCGGACATCAACTTTCTGAAGTCGAAACATGTCAAATCCATTTAGCAGAAGGAGAACTCACCAGAGCCTCATTTTATGAATTAAGATCCAAGTACTGCAAGCCTTTTCCATTGTTATAATACTGAGCTTTGTTTAATCCCGCTGTACTCGATTTTTTCACAGCCTCAACAATATGATCCACGCAATCTACAGTCGTTTTGCGGTATAGTTTCTTAATCAATCCAAAACTGCCATCACACTTGAATTTAGTATTCCAGGTACCATAAAATTTAATTCAATACTTTCATAATAACCGCAAATTACTAAACATAGGTAAAATTAAATAGAGGAATTATTTTTATTCTGACCACCTGCATTATCACAAGTAATTTTTAAATGCTTTTCACCTTTATTCAATCGTTGAATACTAGGCTCAGTGTGCCATTAGGACCTTTGCCGATAAGTTTGTCTTCATCGAGAACGTAATTAATTTGTTCGCGTACTGCTTCATCTTGAATACCAAATAAATGTACTTCACGCGCGGTATACTGTAATCCATTCCGAAAACGTTGGCACGTGTCACATAAATCCGTTCCTGGACTCATTATTTGAATATAAGGTGTTAATTGGGTGCCATAACTTACGAAACGCATCTTCAATTTCAACGTGCTATCGTTTTCTAGACCTGCAATAACGATAGACCGATTTATACACGTAACTCGTTTCGGCTGGTAATAGTGTAAGCGATTGAGTAATGCGATTGACATTTCTACCAGGACTTGGTAGTCCTTGAATTTCAGCACAGTTTTCGAGAAAATTCTTGACGGCGGTATAGCAACGATTATATCAATGGTTATTTTGGTTTTTTTACATTTACCATAAACACGTGGTATTATACCATTCGTTGCCAGATTCTGACGTTTTCCAAATAAATGCGACCAATTCCTAACATATTAAAATATGTTTTCTGGCAAAGAGATGTATGGCGATCTCAATAATAAAAAGTTTTTTTATTAGTACGCGTTTTCTTTTTGTAATTTGATCAGAGCTCCGATTTGGTATTTCGACTAATTAAACAAAAATTGGTTCAATAATTAATTATGAGCGATCGTTCCTCAATTAAGAGCAATTGATGATACAATATTTTACAGCCGTTTATTATTGTATATTCGGTCGAATAATTAATATGAAATTTTGATTCAAGGGAATCGTTTATTTAATTAATTATATTATCCGTGGATATTAATGATCAAACATCAAACATATCAAACATATCGTTTTGACAATGGGATTTGAGCTACTTATATATCTTCAGCGACACTGAAAAAAAAAACAACGAAATGCATCGTATGATATATTAAGAAATTCTAAGTTAGCTATGGCGTTTATTATTATGGCGTTTGACACGAAAATTTTTCTTTGATCATGGGATCTTGAAGATTTTATCATGTGACTGACTCATCTGATTCATCAAAGGGATGGATGAAAAATTTTTCACGGCATATTTTACTCTCCAGCAATGATGTTTTTTACCAAAAGAATTATCCACACTTGATCTGAACGAATTCTGGACGCTATAAACAAGGATATTAAGAAATTTATAGTCGATAACTACAAGGCTGTGTCGATAGATGACAATAAACTTTCTTTTGAGAAAATTCGGGGTTGGCAGCTGTTGTCTGCCCGGATGTCATGAACAGTTGTCTGGGCGGACTTGTATCAGCAGATGGAGCAGAGATCATTTATCTGCTCAATATTTTAGTAGGAGGTCCGTATCAGCATTGTTTATATGGCGTTCATTTTAGCTGACAGTTTTTTAACTATATTAATATTTTTACAAATAACGTACGCAGTCTCCCACCAAATGCCATCACAAACGATGCACCCGGTGATGAACTCTTCGTTCGTGCCAATATTGACTTACGGGAAGCGACCTTCAAATATGGGAATATATATAACATAGCGGGCAAAACGTTTCACGCAACGTTGCGTATGGTCTTTCAGTTCAAGCTGCCACAGCAAATAAATTTAATTCCGAATAATGAAATTCGCCTCACTGAAGAACACAGTTTATTCGGATAAGAAGTCAGACATCATCAACGGAGGCATATATCACAGCGGACATTTCGACACTGGAAGAAAAGATCGGAAAGCAAGCGTCTGGATCAATATGATCCAGACGCTGCTAGTAGAATAGGGAAAATCGAAGACGATAGTCATATAAGCATAGTTGACCAAATAACGCTGTATAGTTGTATATACATGTACAGTATATACGAATGAGTAATAAAGAATTTATAATTAAACCCTCATATTTCGGGAATTCGTACGTTTAGAGCTGGAACGTTATTTCCATATTGTATTAATATAAACCAAGTGTGAGCATACCACTTGTGTAACCCTTTATTACTCAATATAAAAATCCTATCCTATCATCGTCAGAGATTGCATCCCAACCATCAATTTTTCAATATTTTTGGGCAATTGTCTTGTAACTGCCCATCACCCATATCTTTCGCATTTCAATATGCTCCAATCTTTTTTCTTCATATTAATATCATGTGAAATTAAAATTTCTTGCTGCACCTTTAATGCAAGTTGCCATGTTGAAACAGCAGAGTTTTGGTGCACGTACTGCTAACGGCACGAGAGAATGGCTGTCCTTCGAAGGTTTCTCATCGTCGATACCGCGAGATTCTTCTCTAGTCCTCACTCGCAACTATCAGAAGAATACATCAGAAGAATACTTTAGCGATGAATCAACACAAGATAATCTCGAAGTTGACTCGCATTATTTACATACATCATCAGAAGAAGAATACTGGTTTTCGTATCTTGAAGTTTCTTAGACAACAGTACGAAGAGGACGCCAAAAGAACGGGAGAGTAAACAATGGTTTGTTTATCTTTAAAACGCGTTTACCGAAATGGTAACATGAAGACGCGTTTATGATAAACAACGCGTTTCTTTGTTTATCCGAGGCAATTATTTTCGTTACACATACACGCTCAAGAAGTAGAGAGAGCGGAAGTATTGGGAAGGTGGAATGCGGCGACAGCGACCCAAAGACGAGCGCGTGCCGGCTGTGGTGAATAGGATGTATTGGTCATTGAACGAAAGCAAAGTCAGAACAATTTAGGGTTTAGTTCTCTCAAACGACGCTTTGTATGAGCTTTTACTGCTTGAGACACTTACGAAGATATTTAAAGCTCCTGCGTGTAGTGCAGAGCCAGCAGTATGTTTTTCTTTATGAGGTGAAAAGCTAGTTGCTAGTTGTAATTGTGGACATCAATAAAGTACTATACAATGTTACTATCGTTTGAACGGAATAGTTCTACGTTACACAGGCATGAGATTGCGAAGTTGAAACAAAATGGCAAACGCAGTCAATAAATCCAATTTTGGAGTTGATGAGGAGCTGGTCTTGAAAAGCACGTATTGTGAAGAATGGAAAATCGATCTTTTTTTAAAAGGGGCAAAGCAAACAACCTGATTCATTGTGTCTGCTGTTTTTACAATAATACATGAATATATTTTAAAGATACGAAATCATACGATCAAAATCATACTATTAAAAATCTTAATACTGTAATCGTATGATGCGAAATCGTATGACCAAAAGTCGTATGACCAAAAATCGTATGATCCTCATCTGCTACAACCAATCACTATTCTACATTTATCACGTGATAAAACTCGCGATTAGTATCCTGCATCGAACTTCGTTATAACGAGGGAATTTTACTATTTAAAAAACAGGGGAGCCAGAATTCCTTCGGTATAACAAGGTTGATATCCTGGTTACTATATTCTTGTACCTTTCAATCATTGAATGATTTAAAATCCCCGTCTTCTCTCGTAGCCAAATTATATAGTCAAAGTTCGGCCCCACCATTTTGAGGATATAATAAAGGATAACTATTCCATTGTTTTACGTATGACACATGACGTCGGTTATAGTGAACGCCATCAAATGCATTTTTGAGACTGTGTTTATATCGACCCAAAAGAAGTTAGTCTGCGATGTTCAGAAATGTCTTTCACATGACATAATTTAACGACACATAAAAGCTCAGCCATTGCTCCCGAGTGTTGTAAAATTCACAAATTAAAATGTCTGCCGAAAAACCACAAGCAGGTATAAACCCATCGAAAGATCATGTTATATCAACCACCGAAGCACCAAGAGGTTTAGCTGGGATTCCTACTACGTCTGATGTGTATGAGAATACAAGGCATCTGAACTATGGCCAGTCTAATGGTAATGAGAGAAAGGAGAAACAAGAGCAAGGGTAAGTTGTCAGAAGGAAGGGATCAAGAACGACAAGATGACCACAGAGAGAGCAAGTTTACATTCACAGAACTACAAATTTGGATTTAGCATATTGTTTATTCTTCTATCTAAACAGTTCACTAGATTCGCGTCCGATAAGACGCTACTCAGCATCAGGAGACTCGGCACCTGTACTTCAACACACTTTCTATGAAGAATTTATGGCTGGTAAAACGGGCGATGATTTAATTGAACAAGAAGAATCAAGGGAACGAGAGAGGAAGAGCAGAAGAGAAGAAATAAGTACATGTATTATTGATATAGAAAAGATGACGGATACTTTCGAATGAATGGGTTATCAAGTTAACAAGAGTAACGTTATTTAATGTCACTGAGCCATAGCATTACGTTATACTCTTGTGTAAATGTCAGTAGGATGACAGTGGCACTATCTATTTACTGTATTGAAAGAGAAAACTTTGTGTTATATTCTAACAAATTGTTGCAATAATATTATACAATAAATAAAAGAGTTCCTATAACAGAACGATTGGTAAAACTTGTAATCACATTTACGAAATGTGTGCAGATATCATGTTTATTATTACAAGTTTGTCGCGATAATATCAGTCCTGTGAATTGAATTGTTTAAATAATTGGAATTCTTTAGCGTTCATTGGTAGACAGAAATGAAATACTCACGAAACATAAGAGCATATCATTGAACGGAGAATTATACAACTGAGATCGGCAACCACAAATGGAATAGAATTTGCCATTCTGCATCGATTACCTTATATGGTGTAATAATATTGAGTGATGACACAACTCTGTGTCTCGGATTACTATTACCCGTAATTAATAGTATTAGGCATCACACACGTTCGATGTATTAGTATGTCACTTATAATTTTAACTTGAATTTCTTGGCATCAAAAAATAATGTCAGTCTCTCGCTTGGGGTTTTCAGTAATTAGCTTGATATTTACGACTGCGTGTTTCTTACCATTGACTACCGCCCATGAGCACGAAGAGCTTGAGGATGGTGTGGGTATCTCTGGTGATCCAGTCGACGGTATTCTATGGGCACATATAGCTGTTATGTTTCTCGCATTCGGAATAATATTTCCCGTTGGTAAATATACAAAATGGTACATTTCTCAAAGATTGGTTTTGCATGGCTAATTTACAGACAACTATATGCGAAATAGGAATGATTTTTGGGCTTAGTCGTTCTCGATGGCATGTTCCTCTCCAGATAACGGGATCAGGCTTAGTTGTGCTTGGATTCCTGTTGGGACATGCTCACGGTGGACGCATGTTTAGCGCAGGGAATATTCACTCTGCATTTGCAACGATCGTTCTTCTTATTCTCAGTGGTCAAGTTGTGCTGGGAGTGTATTTGAAATTACACTTGGAGAAAGGTTTTAATGGGCTGGTTCGGCCAATATTTGTAGCAACGCACAAGCTATTTGGCGTGTTTCTTCCCGTGCTTGGTTATATACAGATGGTATTCGGTGTAATAACACTTAATGGATGGTGTAGGTGCGTGCGTATATGGCATATTCTATTTGGATTTGAAACAGTCATTGATAAGCATAACTCTGCATTGTTAGGAGTGATCACGATCATACTGGACAATGTTTGGCCCACTTTATAATGGTACTTGACTTTTTTCCAGCTTGATGCTAATTAATGCATTACAGGTGCTTATTCTCAATCATTACTCTAGGGCTCCTCATTTATCGGATATGGAGTCTTGTTGCTTGTCCTGCTTAAAATTGGAGGAGGATGGCTTCGCAGTAGGAACAAATCGCAAGAATATTATGACAGTTGGGTAATCATGTTATGGGGCATTGTTAACACGTGGACTGAACATCGGTAAGTCGTCAGTCATGACATTAAATGCAACGTCGTATATTATAGATACTAACGAATAATTACTATCGCGTGATTAAGATGGGATCAGGTGATTACATTATATTGCTCGGTTGGATAAATATTATGATAACTATTGTATTAACATTGATTCTATTTGATTCATAGCGATGGACTCATAAAGATCTTCAGGTATTAATGATTGACACCAAACTATTGTTGTGAGCGTGAATACCTGTAAAAGAAGTCGGTTTTATTGGATCGTATTAAATCTATTCTAACTAGATTCCGCCTCACTTTTAGCATACGGCTCTTGGAATAATGTGGTGGGCAGGCGGATCAATGGGAATATATGCAGCAAGAGGCGGTAGACGCAACATATTTCCAGCGTTAATAATATTTTTCACTGGATTTGCCATGAGCAAGCATCAGCAAGAGCTAATGATATCCACCATTATACATGCTATATTTGGATATGCCTTGATGGGAGCTGGTGTCATGAGAATCATTGAGATATGTTTTGTGTGGAAGGACGATGATAAGATAAGACCGTTTCAGTACCTGGCACCATATGTGAGTATAAAACTTTTGTGTAATTTAGATGTCACGGGCAACTTATTAAACCATTTCATTTTCTTCTGTTAGTTATTAATACTCTCAGGCTTTTTATTCATGGGCGCAAATGAGGAACAGATTGCATTCCTAGATGAAGCCCACTTTGATCCATATTCATATGTATTGGTCCTCATTTCTCTAGCATTTTTAGTCCATCTGTTTACTGTGTTCCTCTATGATTTATATCAAACAACTGGACGTAATGCTAAAGACAAGCGCTATTTGGAACCAAGATTGAATGGACGTCATCTGCCATTAGTCACAGATCGTGCTATTCGGACTCGAGAAAGCAGCAGCGAGAACGAGAGGATTTCGCGCAATAGCGAGAATTACGAGTTAAATTCGCTATTGGTTAATCATATGGCGGATGACGACGAGTAATAATGTTACTTTCTTAATGTATACGTAATTTGTCTTTCGTGTATTCTACGCATTAATGAATAGAGTGGAATGACGAAAATGTTACACATAGGGTTGATGTTTAGAATAAAATAGAATACTTATTATTATTTATTATAAACATTCCACTGTATAAAACAGTTTAACATGGGCAAAATCCAATAAGAACATGAGAATTAATTACGAGGTGCTACGCAAACTATAATTTGCGTTACGAAGCATATCGCCTCATTTAGAAGCTCACATATACTGCGCCTTTTCATATCTGACTCGTCAGCAAGTGCGCGAAATGGGCAAATTCGTTGTAACAATAGGAATTCAACCATTACCAATGTAACTTATTTTAATAGTGATGTCCAGATTGCATATCAAGGATAACAAAGTTTCAGCCAAGAGCAAGACGAAGGATTACATACCAATACGCACTTTTATATCGCCTGAATTAGGTGGATAATGCCTGACATATTCAGGTGAGACAAGCACGCTGATATGTTGGGTTATGCGACTTAAAATGTCTATTTGTATCACATATGACCAAGTCTCGAAATATACACCAGTGATATAGCGTATAAATAAATATTTCATGTTGATCAGATACCGTTCATTCTATTCTTTGCTGTTTTCAAACAACATGTATAGACGACCACTTCCACCCATCGAGTTGACAAATATCCAAACCTTGAAGCAAGTTTACGAATCCGAAGGCATAAAATTGAAGCCGCTTCTGAATCCAAAAACGAGACAAAGAACGATTAAACGTATGCACAGTATCCGCAGCATTTATAATAACGAATTGATAGATATTATATCTAATTAACGCCTGTCTTGCTAAACAGTCAAAGCACGTTACTCTCATGAGGACAAATTCAATGAGAAGATATCGTTTATGTAAGATCTTTATCCATCTTGGTTATTCTTTATTCTGATCTTTGTATTTCAATCGATTAACGTTCTTTACAGTCAGGCAGACATTACCAGGTTAAAGGTAGATGCCATTGGTATGCTTGATTCTTATGATCCGCTGCTTTCTTTTGTTTAGGCGTTGGGATTTTAGTCGTAGTTGACACGCTTTTCCCAATGTCAATTTTAGTTAACGCTGCAAACAGGACTCTACTGGGAGGAGGTGGAGGTAAGAAATCTAATGCAATTATCGTGTTTTTTTTTTCGCTCGCAATATTACAACGCATCTGATACGCGACTAATATTGATATAGTCGACGGTGCTATTCATAGGTATTATTCAAACGGCTGAGGTTCCGGCATATGATTTGGGAATTTCGTTGTTTAATAGCAACGTATTTTTGTAGAGCTGCTGGTGACCTCCTGTGGAAAGAATGTCGGACCCTGAACGGATGCGATACTGGGGTATGTTGGCGTATCAAGGAGTGATTTAGAATTCATAGTCACTGTTTTAACTTTGTTCTGATAATTAATAGGATGCCAAGATTACAAAAGGTATGTTGAAACCATACCTCAATTTTCGATTTATGTCATTCCAAACTATAGTAATCCTAATTTCACGCATTTGTAATATTATTAGGATATGATCTACCGGCAAAACGTAATTATATTCCATGTCATTCTCTTTCCTAGTTGGCATCAGTTATATTGACATTAGTAATTATTACAGATATCATACATACCGTTGGGCCAATTGGCGAAAATCGAGAGGCACTGAGTAGTTGCTACCAAAGATCAATGGAGGTACTCTGTGAGAAGAAGCTGAGGACAGTCGTACGTACTAGCATATTTCATTTTTTGAGTTAATGTTGTCCCGTCCGTCACAAACTTATTTCCACGTTTAAACGGCATTTATGCATCAAAATTAGGCTTTTTCTAATATCAGTACCGGTATGCTATCCCACGAGTACGAAATCGATTATACAACATACTTAGTCATTATCGTTTTTCATTTCATATTTAGGCATATATGGTTTTCCGCGTGAGACAGCTGCTCACGTGGCATTGGATACTTTAAGAAAGTGGATGGAAACTGATTCCAATGCTGACCTTGTATGTATCTGCGGTTCCAACGGTATTCGATAATAATGGTAGCCTATTTTCTAATTTACATTCTTTTAATTCTCTAGGTGGACCGAATCATCTTCTGTGTTTTCGATGAAGATAATATGCTTGTCTATAGATACTATTTGCCGATGTATTTTCCACAACCACCAGATGTTGAGATTTATCTTGAACCCAAAAAAGATGATAGTGATGAAGAAGCAAAGAAGAAAAGTTATTGGAGTGATGAGGAAGAAAAGAAAGAGAAGCGTGGTTGGGGTGCTCCAAGGCGAACGTCTGACGATGAGAAAGAGAGACGTGGTTGGGGTGCTCCAAGGCGAACATCTGACGATGAGAAAGAGGGACGTGGTTGGGGTGCTCCAAGGCGAATGTCTGACGATGGGAAAGAGGAACGTGACAGGGGGGATGCTCCAAGGCGAACATCTGACGATGAGAAAGAGGGACGTGGTTGGGGTGCTCCAAGGCGAATGTCTGACGATGGGAAAGAGGAACGTGACAGGGGGGATGCTCCAAGGCGAACATCTGACGATGAGAAAGAGGGACGTGGTTGGGGTGCTCCAAGGCGAATGTCTGACGATGGGA